ACCCGGAATGCCACGTGCTGCTCAGAGGTCCAGGAACGTGCGACCTAGCCTCCGGGCCATTCCCAGTGACCATGGCAATGGCAGGCCCAGCCCAGAGATTGCAGAGAGCAGGAGAGGCAGAGTCTAGCAGCATCCCCAGGCTTTCCAGAAGGCCTGGCTGGGAATGGGGTGTGGCACACAGTGTAATCGGTGTGCCTTGGTGAGCACCTCCTGTGTGCCGGTCACCACGTTCAGTCCTTTTCAGCATTTGGCTGGGAATGGGGTGTGGCACACGGTGTAATCGGTGTGCCTTGGTGAGCACCTCCTGTGTGCCGGTGGCCACACTCAGTCCCGTTCAGCATTTTGTTTAGTCACCCAAATAAAAGTTAGAAATTGATGAGAAACTGAGAGTGCAGGGCAAAAGAACACATGATTCGTACTGTGGACGCAGGACAGTCTGTTGGGGTGCTGGCAGGGAAGTTGGGTGTTTGATTGTCACGTGGTGGTGTCATGAGCAGTCACGGAGCCGTCGGATTGCTCTGGTGAACTCGCTTCCTGGTTTTTCTCACCTGCAAAATGAAAGAGCTGAGAGGATGAAATGAGTTAACAGATGGGAAGTGTAGGCCACCCAGCCCTGCTCAGCCTTTGAGCAGCAAAGAGGAGGAGGAGGAGGAGCTGTTCTCTGGTTACAGAGGGCATGAGGCTGGCCCGGAGGCTCATAGTGTGACCAAGGGCGATTCCTTGCCTCATTTTGTGTGATTTAGAAACAAGGTAGAAGTAGAAATTGGGCATTATGTCAGGATTTAATGAAGCCTTGTTTGGGAGCTATTGTCTTATTTTTAACCACTAATTAAAGGGTGTTGTTTCTCTCTATAGAATAAAACATTTACAATTTGTAGATAAAGTAAATGTATGCCTCACTTTTTACGTTAAGTTCTTAAACTTTTTTTTAATTGAAGAATGGAAACATACATGAAAGTGTATTTGGGCTTAAAAAGTTGTCACAAAATTATCCTCAGGTCAAGAAGGACCCATTTCCAGCCCCCAGAACCCCCTGCATCCTGTCCCAGGCACCTGCCTGCTCTGCTCCCTAAAGATGGGCACACTTCTCCCTTCTGACCCCGTGGTGAAACCGGCTTGGTTTTCACTTTTATGCAGGGTACACACACACGCACACGTGCACAGTCGCAGGGCTAGCTAAAGGTATCTTCTATCTGTAAATCCAAATAAAATTTTAAAATTGTAGAGGAAGTGACTTTTAAAAGAACGCTAAGCATTACTCTTGGGAGTCTCAGGAGGGTAATTTAATTGGTAGTGTCAGTAGTAAGAGCAAATGTTTTCTGTACCCGTTGACA